GATGTCATCTTTCTTGTTTGAGGAACATCTCGCATCACAAATCAAATTGGTTCCAGCCCAGCAATCACACCAGAGATAGTTAGATAAAATAATATTCCAAATTTTCTAACCTTTGTATCTATTAAGTCACGCATTACATAAATAAAACACTAAGATCTGTAACGCATAGAGTTAATATGTTGCTCATGGATCTTTCCGGAATCTAGTGACATAGAGAACATAGAAGGATCCCTACGTGACTTTTCTTGAATGAGGTGTTCCCTTTGGTATTTCCGTTTATAACACAGAGAGTAAACCTAAGAAGAATTTAACTTTTGGCTAGGCGCAAGACATCATTCCATATAAGAGAAGTATATGAACTACGGGTACGCACTATCAGTGAGAATAATATTAGAGACCTCACTGTAATACAGAGTTTTTATCTAGAGGCCATGTTATCTGATCCAATTCCCAAGTGGGCCTTAAATGGATTGAAGTGAGGCAAGTTGCGCTGATGCTAAAATTACGGCTTGAGGGCGGCAGTGAATAGGGGTAATCTGATAATCTGATCCGAGATTTTTATGCCAAAAAAACTTATAATGGGCAATTATCCTAGTAATATGATATACAATGAGACTAATGCAATGAAGGAGTAAAGCAGAGATAATAGGCGATATAAAGCAAGCACAGATGTAAAGAGAGTAGTGCAGCAAATGACAATCGCGAAACAAACGATATGATACGAGTTCGGTCAACTCTCGGACCTACGTCGCCGCTCCTCACACGAGTAGCATATCACTAATATCATCAAAATCTACACAAACAGTTTCAAAGATCACCGGATAACTTTTACAATGCACGATGTAATCACAGCAGCCACAACCCTCTAGTGTTGGACTTACCCGCTGTCACATTTTCAAGTGTTTTAGAATTAGCAAGCGTCTCCCTAGGCTTTTCACAACTAGCCTGGTCTTTCGCCAACAACTCCTCTAAGTATTCTTGTGTATTACAACGTGTTTAACAATAGTACGAATGGATTTTGTTTCTAAACAATGTGAGAACGAATGGTAAAGCTCTTCTTAATAAAAACACTCTCACAACCCAAAATATACTAAATCATGAATACTAATAGCTCAAGTGGGTCGTGCTCTAATTAATGAGTAAATAAAATCAACTCAAATCACAATCTAGCATAAATCATGAGAATCAAATATTAATTAGCTAGAGAAAGGAAAGTTTTAGAAAACTTCTCCAAAAAAAGAGTAAGAGATATTGAGGATGAACGCCTCAAGGAACGAAATTGAGATTCCTTCTCATTGTTGAAACTCTTTCACATAAACAAACCATGCACTTAAACTTCAAAAACAGTGCCGAGCAAAACTGCCAAAAACTTCTTATAAAAAACTTTATTAAAAAAATAGCTCTTGAGCAGCTATTATTAGCGCTTGCTCAAACAAATCTGCCAAAAACTAGTTGTTACAGTAAAACAACTGTTGATCAGTCGACTGAAAATATGATCGGTCGACTGATGCGACTGAAAACAAAGATACTATAAAAACTTCTTCTGGGCAAGTCAATTGATTTAACCAATCGGTCGACTAATGCCACTGTCGGTCGATCTGGTTAATTGTATGCGGTCGACTGAAAAGAGCTTAACTAAAGCTTTCTATAAAAATTACTTCTGTCTGATCGACTGATGCATTTTATTCAGTAGACTAGAAAAACTGATACACAGATTCACTGAATATAAAAGGCTGATTTTTTTAAATTCAATTTAAAATAGTAAAATAACTTCAAAATAGTTAAAACTTGGAATGTTATACACATAGAAAATGAAGTGTTTAAATAAAAGGAATTTCTAAAGTAGGAATTTCCATGTTGTGAAAATCTCAATTATTTTGGCACCAAATGGTTAAAATAAACAAGATCGTTAAACTTGATTTTGATGAAATCATCGCAAACAAGTTTTGGGATACTTTAAAAATAGATTAATAGAACTTTTTGGAAAGATCATAAAATAATTCATTAAGTCTTATAATCTAAAATCACGTTATCTAACAATAGATGTGTACGCGACAGATAGAGGATAACTTGTTAATTAGTTTTTAATTGGCATTTAATCGGATTAGATTAGCATAAGACCCTAATCACCCCCCCTCTAGGGTCTAACAATATTTTCCCATCGTTGAAGACTAATTAATGACGGTTGGATACCGTCGTAAAAGTTCTCATAATGGGTAATTAGTAACCCATCAACGATGGTGCTTTCCCTTCGTTGATAAACAAAATACGGTTTATAAAACCATCATTATAGACTACAAATTTCTAATATACATTAATAATAATTTTTTCATTCATAGGCAACTATCATATTATTCTTAATCTGACATTAAGATTCACAACAAAAATATATTAAAAATACCCAATAATGAATAAGAGAGAAAATAAAAATTACATTCATTAATAACATCAATAAATAAAATTCCACCATCCTCAAATATTCAATACTAATAACAAGAGTTAATATCCTAATCGTTCCAAAGAAAAATACATGAAACTATCTAAAAAAGAGTTAATATCCTAATCGTTCCAAAGAAAAATACATGAAACTATCTAAAACAAATTAAAATAAAAGTTAGTGGAAGACACATTCTTTCATCTCTAATCATCGTCAAAAGAAGACTCGAGCTACCCTCCTCCTAATCTTGCATGGATAGCCTAATTTTTTTTTAAAAATCACATAATTAAGAAATATTAATGAAGCAAATATTATCTTATTAAGTAAAAATCATATTTTTTTAGTGCAAGTAGTCAATCATAAAAGTATATAAGAGATTTTACAAAAAATAATTACCTAGTCCTGCACACGTTCTCGAGTTTGAGGAGTCAATGAAAGTGATCACTTGTGACTCCAACTCAGACATCCTTTATTGTTGTTGCTCCTGCTCATCTAAGCGTTGTTGAAGCATCTGGTTCTTTCTCTTTTCTTCTATAACCCGTGCTTCCAGATCAGATCGACTAGGGAGCGGTCCTCTCAAATCTTTTAAAGTAGTCCCGCCATCAAATACAGTGATGTGATCATGAGATTGCTTCCCCTAGATTTTCTCAACTATCTCAATGTCAGAAAGTGAAGGGTTTGCTTGTTTGACTTGAATAATTTCATCCTATAAAAATTAAATTCATATGTTAGTACTATATAATATATCATTATCAAACTTAAACACATATTCTAATTACATATTTATCTTGATCCCCAATATCTAGTGTTTCATTAGCTTTCTTTCGAGTTTCATGAAACATTTGTGCCACATCAGGTGGATTTCCTGACTTGCCACCCTTATTCAAATATTAAATAAAAATGAGTACAATATCAAACTAAAAAACAAAGTAGTTTTAAATAAATAGGAAATAAGTTTTGAATGTATACCAATTCCCACGCAATTTATCTAAAAGGTTTGCTGCCCGTGTGGTGGAGCATGTTTCTTTTGCCTCTGTTAAGTGTATTTTGTTGGGTTGCTTTCTATACATCAAGATTAAAAGATAATTTCAACAATCTAATAATATACATGGAACAAAATTAATTTAAAAGATAATTTCAACAATCTAATAATATACATGGAACAAAATTAATAAAATTAGGAGATTAATACCTGAAATTTTGAAGAAAAATAATGAAATTAATAAAATTAGGAGATTAATACCTGAAATTTTGAAGAAAAATAATGTTCCTTAACTAGCCAATCCTAGTCATCAACACTTACTTCTGTAGGTTTATTTCTAAGTGCAACTTGCAATGAATTATCTTTCACATATTTCCTGTGCATGTCACCCTGCCACTTATTCCATAAATCACGCAAGTGTCTCATTATTGACTCTCTCTTTTGCTCCATGTCCTCGGTATCAAATTTATCCTATATCAAATTTGAATCAAAATTTAATTTATAAGAATTAAAAACCAATTGCAAAAAATTAATTTTTAATGTACCTTAATGGATGCCCACATATGATCTTTATTTTGTTATGGTATTTTGGCCTAATTCTCAACAACTACTGGGCAAATATTTCTATCACAAATAATAATTCCAAGATATCATAAAAATTCTGGTTTAATAGCTCTATTCTAATAAAAAGTAATGATCTTTTTCTCCCCATGTGACAAATTATTCAACTTTAGACACTTATTATTACCACGAGGTGGATTTTTCTTCTTTTGAGAATTATCAGCTACATACATCACATCATATGTTAGAAACAAGATATAGTTTAAAAAAAATTGATAAAAATATTCCTTCTTGTAATTAATAAAGAATATACCTTCTTGTTGAGATTCATTTAGTATTGCATCATCACTTTGCACTTGATGATTATTTGATTCTGCAAAAAATGAGCAATTATTAATCCAATCAGAAAAAATAAATTGAAAGGTAAAAATAAATAATAATAAATTTTAGTTCTCATAAACCTACAGAATCATCATTCTCTTCATTATTAGTATTTGCACTTCTCCTGCGATTTTGTACAAAATTCTCCTCTTCAAAGTTTTCTGAATCAGCGCTAAAATTTGCACCCATATTTTGATCTTGTATTGGGGTTTGAATATTCAAGTTCTTGTCAAGACAAGTACGGAGTTGTTCTCTTCTTAATGAATTTTCTACAAGTGCTTGAAGTCGCTTCATAATTAATGACCTGGGTGCTAGAAATTGTGCCCTTTTGCTTTTGGAAGTGGCTTCTTGAGTTTTTATTTTCCTGCTATGAAAATAAATTTAAGTATTACACACTATGTATGAAACAAATGTCAAAAGAGAAATGAATAAAAGAAGAAGATATCACGAAGGACAAGCATAATAATAAATACATAGTGCACTAATGTAGAAGCACTTGCTGTAATGTCAAAGCCACATTCAAAATAGGAAGAAAAGAAACATCATATGTATAAAAAAGGAATAGTTATAGTAAGATACAACTTAAAATTTATCCAATAACACAATATCATTTGAGTGCCATTTTTTAATGAAAGCGTTTTAATCCTCTACTTGAGTCTTTTTCCTCTTTTTTGAAGTTAAGACCGAATTTACAATAATTGGATCAATATCGCTCCTTCTCAAATTGATATCATCATCTACCAATGATGTTGATGCAATAGCCTGAGTATCAAATGATTCATCTTGCAAATAAGCTTCAACTCCATCGTCTGTTATCTCACAATCATCTGTATCTGGTGGCATATCATAGGAATCACGGGGTTGTGCTTTAAGAACTACATGCCAACCTTCATTGGTAATATCCTCAACATAAAAAACTTGTGATGCTTGGCCAGCAAGTATAAAATGGTCATTCGTCTTTAGCAAGTGTCGACAGTTAATACTGATAAATCCATTTTTGTCTTCTTTCAAAGCGGTCTCTTTTCCTTTACCGTGCACATCCCACCACTTACAACGAAATAGAACAACCTTTCTTCCATCAAGATACTCTAATTCAACAACTTCAACCAAAGCACCATAATAATCTATATCTCCATCATCACCACCATCACCAACAACTACAACCCCGCTATTTTGAGTTGACAAATAATTATCTCAACTTTCTATATGAAATCGATGTCCATTTATGACAAATCCAGTAAAATATTTAACAATCTTACTTGGACCACGAGATAATAAAAGTAAGTCTTCATCTTCTCGATAACTCTGATAAACCTAAACAAAACCAAAATATGATCAAGTTATGGAACATGTAATAAAATGAACCAAAAAGAAAAAAATAAGTCAAGACATTTACTAGAGATTGGAACCACTCGATAAAGTTCTTATCCCAATCTTTATCATCATAGTGATTTGTGGGTTCTCTCACGAATTCATTATAGTCCCTACATTAAAATATCATAAATATGATTAACGTTGACTAACTATAGTAAATTAAATAGAATCTTAAACTTTAGTCACTTACTCAATATGTGGTTGCACTTCATCACAGTTCTTTAGAACATAAATATGAGCTTGTAACCACTCACGTTCATCAAGGTAGCGGGTGGTGGCAGCACCCAATGCCCGCCCACTATGTCTGAAAATAGATAGTTGTCTTTTATGATATTCTCTATTGTCATCTTCATAATTTCTTTCAAGGCGATTAAACTTTGTCTCGAAGCCTTTTAGATACATCGAGCAAAGAGTCATACATTCATCTGCTATATATCCTTCGGCAATTGACCCTTCTGGACGAGCCCTATTTCTGATATATGACTTATAAGTATAAAGTTGACGCTCCACTGGGTACATCCATCGAAATCGAACAGGCCCTCCAAGTATGGCTTCAGATGATAAATGAACTACTAAATGCAACATAACATCAAAAATTGAAGGTGGAAAAATCCTCTCAAGCTTACATAACGTAAGTGGAATTTTTTTATCAATTTGCTTTAGTTCATACACCCGTAATGTCTTGGCACATAAAATAGTAAAGAATATGGAAAGTTCAATAATTGGTTCACACACTTTTGCAGGAAGAAGGCCACGAATCGATACAGGAATCAAGCGCTGCAAAAGAACGTGACAGTCATGACTCTTTAACCCCAAAATCTTACGCTCTTTAAGATTTACACATTGAGAAATATTGGATGAAAATCCATCTGGAACTTTTAACTCCTTTAGAAATCGACAAAATTTGCTTTGCTCTTCTTGGGATAAAGTATAACAAGCTGCTGGCATCACAAGTTTATCTCCTCTCTGGATTGGATGTAACTCCGGTTTTAAACCCATTGCTTGTAAATCAAGACGGGCTTTGATATTATCCTTTGTCTTTCCATTAATGTTCATGATTTTTCCCAGCAGACTATCACAAATATTGTTCTCAATATGCATGACATCTAAATTATGTCGCAATAAGAGAGATCTCCAATATGGAAAATAAAAAAAAAATACTTTTCTTATTCCAATTATCTCCCCGTCTTTCGTGTGATATTTTAATTTTCTTCTCAAAAAAAAAAATACTTTTCTTATTCCAATTATCTCCCCGTCTTTCGTGTGATATTTTAATTTTCTTCTCAAGATGATTGGTCAAGGTGATCCCTATAAGATCTTCCACCTGCTTAAGGATGTCATCTCCAGTCAGCTTCGGCGCTGCATACCCTCTCTCCCTAGTGCTATCAAATAATTTCCTATCCTTTCTCCAATTATGATTTTCATCAAGATAGCGACGATGCCTCATATAGCATTGCTTGCCTCCATTAGATAACCTGATAGAGTGAGTGTGCTTATTACAACAAGGACATGCTAATTTCCCCTTAGTGCTCCATCCAGATAAATTTGCATAAGCAGGAAAATCATTAATAGTCCAAATTAGTGTTGCACGTAAAATAAAATTCTGTCTCAGAGATACATCATATGTTCGAACGCCTGAGGCCCACAACTCCTTTAGTTCTTCTATCAGTGGTTGTAAGTAGGTGTCAATAGCATCTCCAGGACCTGTTGAACCAGGAATGAGCATAGATAAAATAAAATTGGATTGTTTCATGCACATCCATGGTGGTAAGTTATATGGTACAAGTAAAACAGGCCATATGCTATAATAAACTTTTGAATTTGTGAAAGGCTGGAAACCATCACTTGCAAGACCGAGCCTAACATTTCGGGGCTCTTCGACAAAGCTTTCATGTAGCTCATTAAAGTTTTTCCAAGCCTCAGAGTCAGCTGGATGCCTCATCACTCCGTCCTCAACTTGTCTTTCATGGTGCCATCTCATATCAGAAGCTGTCTTCGAAGACATGTAAAGCCTTTGCAATCGTGGCTTAAGAGGAAAGTATCGCAATGTCTTTTGAGGTATTTTTTTACCATTTGCCTTTCGCTTGATCTCTTTTCCATGTTTATCAAGTTTCCACCTAGAAGCACCACATCTCTGACACGTATCAAGACCTTCTTCACTTTTCCAAAACAGCATGCAAAGAGAATGGACACGAATCAATTTTTTTCATATGATAGGCCAAGGTCTCGGATCAACTTTTTGGCCTCGTCATACGAATTAGGCAGTGTTGATTCCCCTGGCAATAGCTTCTCATTCAAAAACTGGAGCAACATTGAGAATGATTTATTACTCTATCTATTTAGGCTCTTTATGTGAAGTAGTTTCACTAAAGCAGATAACTTTGAACATTTAGAGCCTTCATACAAAGGTTTCTCGGAGTCACCTAAAAGACTGTAGAATTGTTTTGCATGTTCATCTGGTTCCTGCTCAAGAATATTCTGACTTGATGTGGCATCAGGTGCAACAACGCTAGTTGAATTATGGAATAAATCTCCGATCATTTCTTGCATTTCATCGTCACTTTGGCTTTCTTCTGCCATTTCTTCTTGTTCTTCATCAAACTCCGATATGGACTCACCCTGTCTTTCGCCGTGATGACACCAAAATCTGTAGTTTTTAATAATTCCATGAACAATCAAGTGGGTCTTTACCGACTCATGATTACCAGACTTCACATTGCTGCATTTAATACATGGACATCGAATTTTAAAGTCACCATTCTTTTGATTGAAACTATCCAACAACTTCTCATATGCATAGTCTAAAAACTTATCAACCCCTTCTTCATATTTTGGATCAAGTCTATCATCATCTACTAGGTCCATCCAATCTTTATTCGGTGCCATTTCAAGCAATGTACTAAAATTTCCTGAAAAATAATTCAATCTAGTCAAAAACTAAACACAAAGAAATGCTTAATTTTATTTGAGACTCATATGTTTATATATAGGGTCATTCAACATATAAAAGCATTTAAAAATAATAAACATCTGAAAGCATCTAATAAAAAGTAAATACAATTCATCGCAAGAACTACAGTTATCAAAAATCAGCCATCTGAATTGCACTTCCTAATACAGATTATTTTAGTTCCTAAAGAAATAAGAGACCGTAACTGAACAAGTTTTTAAACAATCATATAAATATTTTTTGATGGAAAGAATAGAATCAACACCTTTTTGCAAATTCATAAATGTTTTTGGCTTTAATTGCTCGACGGCTACGAGATCTCGACGACGAGATCTGCAGACGAACTGAAGACGTACGACGACTCGAGACCACGACGAACTGTTGTTGACGACTGGGAACTCGAGATGACGCCGACTCTTGCCGACGAACTAGAGCCGACGAACAGATGTTGACGATGCCGACTAAACTCAAGACGGCGCGTGACGACGAGGAGCGGACTGATCTCGAGATGACGACGACGATGAACACATGTGGAGCGGACGACGAGGAGGAGCACGCAAACGGCGACGATGGCGTGGGGGAGCGGACTACAACGAGGAGCACGCAGACGACGATGATGACGTGGGGGAGCGGACGACGTGCAGGAAGACCATAATGAGATACAAGAGGCGGTGGTTTTTTTAATTACTAGGGTTTATTTATTACGAGATAGGAGGCGGCGGTTTTTTTAATTACTGGGCTTTATTTATTATATATAGCTGCGTTGATTAAATAATGATTAGGAGTTATTGAATCTCAATAATTCTGTTTGTTAATAGGAATAGGTTAATTTCAGATCATTTTGTAGTTTATTAATTCAGGTTTTGGATTTTAGTTGGGGCTTAGGGTTTGGTTATGGGATTTGTTAATAGCAATAGGTTAATTTCAGTCCAATTATGATTAAGAGTCCCATCAATGAAGGTAATGAACCCCTTCATTTTTAAGGAGACCCAATAACGACGGTAGTAGGATCAAATCAACGAAGGGATTAGAAATCTGTTATCCCATATCACATTATTTCTCTATTATTTGAAATCACTCCACAAAGGGTTAAAAACCCGTCGTTATTATATACCCATTAATGACGGTCAACTGGTCCCTTCACTAATTTTGGTCGTTAAATATCAGATTTCTTGTAGTGTAAATGACCTTGACGGCCGCATATAGAACACTTATAAGTTTTGCTATACATGTGTGCATAATGAGTGGATGACTTCTTAGACTTAGCACACATATCCATAAGCTTCTTATGATTATTAATGCATGTTTTCAAAGTTGAATCTAAAGATGAAATACTTTTGTTCATAAGATTCAAGTCTTCATTCTTAGGTACATATGCATTTTTAGAAGTAGAACATAAATAGTCATTTATAAATGAAGCAGTGTTATTTTTTATGTTCTCTACTTCTAACATGGCATCAATCTTAGCATGAGATAAGCTAGAAATGGATGATGATAATTTCTCATTTTCTAATTTTAACATATCATTATTTTCTTTAAGAGCAATATTTTCTTGAGAAATGATATCAAAATTGGAAGCTAGCTTCTCATGATCGAATTTTAAACTAACATGCTTGCTTTGTAAATTAATAAAATTATTTTGCAACTTGTTAAAGGCATGTAATAATTTTTCACTAGCACAAGCAAGTTAATCATTAGGTAAATTATTAATAGATTTGAACTCGCAAACCTCACTAGGGCTATTGCCAAGTGGCCGTGTGCATGATGCTCCACATGAACTTGAAGCGGGATCCTCCAAAGCTTGTCGGATCGCCTCCTAGATCGCTCCAAGTCTCCTTGACGGGTGCCTTTCTTATTTAAAGGTATCCATAAAGGTGTGTAACACCATCAAAATGAACAAAACTTGTTTTTAGACGATAGATGAGTTAATAAGCATTTACAAATATTCTAACAAAATGTTATTCATAGTAAACATCATGAATCATGTTTTATTCCACTTGGTATTCTTGTCAAATAAGGCCAAAAACGCATCACTCTATAATTTCCATAAATTCATAGGAATGTTTGAGATCTATTCTCTGTAGGACGCAAAAAATGCTGAAAAGATCTCCAAAATAGCAGCTTGAGAGAAAAGATCATTCTCCAAAATAATGCCAAACAAAAGGACAAAAGTATAAGACGGTCTCGTTCCCGCCGAGACAGCTTTGCTGGTCTCGCTGTGCGAGACAGACTTTTTCTGTCTCGCCCGCGAGATCAGACTTTTGCTTGTCTCGCCTGCATAACAGTACTGTTGCTGTACTCCACATACAAGACAGTTTTCAAATCATTTCAAAACCCGTCGACTACGTGGCCACCAACTGTTTCAGAATGTTGGGGAAACGTCGTGGGCGAGAATCACGGTTGATACCACCAGAATAACACGAAGTTTGAACCACACACGTGGAAGGCAGTTATTTATTTGACCTTGATGAGTTCAAGAAATAGTCAAGAATATTTGGACGTTTTTCCGTCCAGAAGTACAAGTAGTTGTATCTGTCTCGCGTGGGAGGCGGAGACAGCAAATTTTTATATCTGTCTCGGCTCGGTGGGCGAGGCTGACAATGGTGCTAAAACGAGGCGTGTTTCGACTGTCTCGGCCAGCGAGACAAGTAAACACTGTCTGCGCATATTAATTCTGTCCTTTGGTTGAGTTTTGTTAGTTCAGAACCCAGTGGCTAATAAATATTCCTTGGTCGTTCCCCTACGGTCTATGTTCTGACGAAGGCTCTAGATACAGTCTGGCACTTGTCAGCGAACAATCCAGGGAGCAGACATAGGGAGAGCCATGAGTTTTTGAACTTTTACGCCAACTGCCTTGATAAGTCAGCACTTCTTTGACTTGATTGTCAAGAAGAAGCGACTAGTCTTACCTTCCGATAAATATTCGTTTCTAAAGTTCTCCACTTCGATAAAACGTATAGTCCCAATCTATAAATATCACGTGTTCTCATCGATTCATTTAGAATTCCTGTGTATTTTTTGATGGCTTTCCACGGCTAACCCGCACCCGCCCGCATCAGGCAAGAATCCCACGCAGAGCACGTTATGCCTATAACAGAGGGCGATCCTCCCTGTCGTTTGTTTTTCCCCACAGAGTTGTAATTTTCCCATTATTGTGTGTAAAAGCAAGTCTTATAAAAGGGCTATCTCTTTTTGAACTTTAAGTTTGTAAAATGCGATCTCGAAGATCCATAAATGAATTCCCAATTATTAACAATAGTTCCAACTTTTGACGAAACAAGCTTGGCGACGCACACAGTGGTGGATGTCTATTATATTTCTTGAGATCGAAGTTTGGTTTGTCATGGATATTTCCCATTATTATCTTTCAGTCGAATTTTTATATTATAAATCTCAATATTAAAAATAGCAGATGGTCTTTTATAAGCTTTTTATACACAACCTAGAAAATGAAAAACAATTACATACTCTCTTGCGGGATAGACAAGTTCGCAGGATCGTTCTTTGCATTTGGATTACTCGCTTTATTCGTGTTTTGTTGTTGCCTTGTGGTATCTTTGCCTTTGTGCCGGGGAGGCGCGTTTTGAACATCAGTTTCTTGGACACCGAACTTCACTCGATTCTGATTGAATCGTTAGAGGGGTTTAAACATTGGTGATTCTTGACTTCGTTTATATCGCGTGAGAACTTTGGAAACTGATAATCTCTTATCGATCTGGTGTAGGAGATAGTCCGTTCTTGCCTTAGGATAATCGAACGTTTCAAGAAAACGCTCTAATTTTCCGAGGATTGAAGTTCTATTCCGCTTCCCGGCTGAAATACTCAATGCATAATCTCCTGCTCCTTCTCTCTAGCTCTGGATCGCTCTGAGGTTCAGAGAGAAAATGATCTCGCCCTTGTGACTGCTGCTGTCGGTGGCTGTGTTCTGTATCCGCCTCTCTTTTCCACAAATTCGGCCTTCTGTTGGAGTTACTTTGAATATCACTCCTTTTTGAATGAGTGCTTCCGAGGACAGTGTTACTGTGCTCGCGGGCGAGACAGGCTAAGACACTGTCATTCGGGGAACAGTAAATACTTCTGTGTGCACACGTTTCGTCGCAGGATATGTAAAGATACTAGTCTCCGCGGAACCGCTAGATAAGCTGTCTCTGAGTGTCATTTTTTCTTCGGTTGTAACCTCCGTTCCCACGTTTTACCAAGCTCCGTTATATTTCTTGGTTTGCAGT